AAAAAAAAAAAAAAAAAAAAAAAAAAAAAACTGCTGCTGTGATAGGTATTTATCCATAAAAATGACTGATTCTCTTTTGCTATTTTTTTTTCAAACTAAACAGTCATCTCTAATAATCAGATTTATTTTGTAGGACAATAAAAAATTACTACTTTAATAATAAAAAAAGTATTTTTTGTACCTTTAAAATTTCAATTTTTTTGCACATATTATTAAACTCATTTGTTTTCATACTATTGAATTATTTGTTCCTGAATGATACACTGAAACTGTCATATTATAATCCCTTTTTTTTTACCGGTAGATAAACACATTGCTGTATGCTGTGTAAATGATTTTACAACTGCAAAAACGACATCTGCCTTAATGATGTGCTGCTTATAATGTGTCGTCAATTTTGGTGATTTACTAGACATTAAATCAACGTCAACAGCATTAAAACAGCAAAAGAAAAAGAAACTCATTTCTTAACTATATACTTGAAAAACAATTTTTTTTCTAAATTTTCTTTCTTCTTTATCATTTAGCTAATAATCTTTTTAAAAAAAACAGCAGCACAATTGATAACAACAGTATTAAAAAGTAACAGCAGTAAGAATAACAGCAAAAATAAAATAGCTAGAAAAGAAATGTATAAAATACAGCTAACGACAATGATTGAGCTAATAAAGAAGACTAAAAAATGTTGTCTTTTTATTGTAACCAGACTAACATCATAAAGTTTTAGCGAGGAAAAAACCATTGATTGTAATGCAGTTTTATACCAGTCAAAAAAAAAAAAACATATTCCGCCTTCAACTCCTCAATTTCTCCCGTCCTTCCCCCTCACCCTCCTACTCAGGAAAAAAAATAGACGAAACCAGCAGTATCCATGCAAAAAGGCTTAAGAATTTCTTTGCAAATTGAACAGCTTAGTGCAACAATGCTTTAAGATTATTGTTGAAATTAAAAGTTAATATAAACGCTTTTTTTTCGCTTATAAAAATTCACTTTTTTACATGATTTCTCACAGCTGATCGCTGTCAGGGCATAAGAAGAAAAAAGACAAAAAAAGGTGAAAAAAGAAAAAAAAAACAAAGAAATGGACGAAACCAATTAACGTGGTGCATAACAATTGTAACATTTTAATTTGTAGATCTTTAGCAACTAGAATTCCCCCCTTGCTGACAATAATGGTAGG